TTGTGTGTGTGTGTGTGTGTGTGTGTGTGTTAAATCAAAAGAATTGATTTACGAAAAGAAAAAATATAGTATCGCAAAAAGCCTTGGATCATAAAATCTATATCGTAGTATCGCACAATACCTTGGATCATAAAATCTCGAATAACTCTGTGAAACTTTGTTCCATTATAATAGCCACGTCGCGTAAGTTCAGCAAAATTCCTACAGGTAATTGGCACATGTTTCCAATAAAGTTCTATTACTATTTCACCCATACTGTAATAAAAAGAATCCAACAACAGTACAATGGCAGCTGTTATATGAATTCATTGATGCATGCTTAAATAGCATAAATACATAGAGAGAAACATGCCAGCAGATATAAATAACAACCAAACATTTGTCAATGATATTTTGTTATACAGTAAAATAAAAGTGATATAGTAGTGCTATAACATATATTAGATTGTGTCGTATTACGTTTATTAACAAGAAATGTTTGAGAAGTACTAGTATGATTGAAATGAAAAACACATTGATGTTCCGTTGTTCCAAATGGTGTAATAATATAGTGAAAAGACTTTATATTAATGCAATACTCAAAAATTGTGAAGAAATTAGAAAATAATTTCAGTATTATTATTATGTTCAATGAGTATGATATAGATAAAAAGAATGTATAAAGATCTCGAAAACTCTGTGAGCATCCATCAATTTAGGAAGACTAATAAACTGGAAAAACTAAAATTGTAGAGTAATAATCTGTTTAGTAATAATTATATATTTACGTTGTTTCAAATGCTACGAATGATGGTTGCCAGTGTTTATCAGGGATACCAGATATATTTGCAAGAGCCATGTTAATGTAATGATTCTTGTAATGTTTATTGTTCTTTCCCTAGGGGAAACAAATAATTTATCTTACTGTCATATAAATTTTTATCAATGCAACTAAAAAAAATATACTCCCTTAAATTGACTATACGTCTTACAATTAATTTGATTGTATCTCCTTATTATCTTTCACTAATTATTTTTAATGTTGCATTTGTTGTTTATATCACTTGCTATAAAATTAAAGAGATTAAAAATTAATCAAGCACATGATGTCAAGCATTGTACTATCTACCATATCATCAGTATGTATGTAAACACAATATTGTTATGTTATCGCACGAACTTAGCTGTATGTTCTGTGGTATCGATAGATGTCATTTAGGAGGGAAATTTCAAATTGTTTTACGTGCACTACAGTACATGTCGATTTTTAAAAATTGTCTGACGCAAGCAATGACGGTAAATTATATAATGAAATTATTACTAAGACAATGACATACGAGTTAAAGAAATTGTTTCTTTTTTAATAGTTATAAAGTAAATCTATTAATACAATGTAGAGCGAAAGATTTCAGTATTCAAAATTAAATTTTATAATTTCAGAAATTCTTATATCTCTGAGATCTATTTTAAATGAAAGATTCTGATGTCAAGTGTTGGGGGGAGTTTGGTATAAAAATTTTCACTTTCAGGAATACCGTCAAAATATAGGAAAGCCGAAATACTTTCAGCCGGAAACAAATCTCAATATTTATTATGACCCAAGGACCTCTACTTCATTGTCCGTCATACTCAATGAATTCATTAGAATTTAGTTTATCACTCTGCTGCAGTAATAAAATTGGTAAATTCACGTCATTAGTGTTTGAGTTCTTATCGAATACTATTCCCGTCCAATCTATGGTATATTGCAAAGAAATGTCATGCAAAAGGTATGTAATAATTCTTCATCTGATTCTTTTTTTTTTTTTAATAAGTAAAGCTTATTAAAATTGCGATGGGAACTGAAACTCGTGTAGAATGTTAATATATAATATTGGATGATAAAATTTTATTTCAAACGTTTCTTGATGAAATCAATAGATGCGAATAGCAGAAAGATTTAATAGTTCTTTTCGGTACGTAAAAACCTTATGAATATTTCATCCAAACATGTTTCCACTATTTATTACATTTATGACACCTTTTCATTTCCAGGGATTTCTGTGTAATAAATTTAATCGCGAAAATAATTCAAACAAACAACGTCTGAAGAATATTTCAATTGTAATAATTGTATTATCATCCAATAATCACGCGGTAATCATCATCTTGTACTTCAAAATTTTTAATGGAAAAAATGGTTTATAAAAAGCGTCGAGATATGTCGTGCACTGTTAATCTAGCACGCAAATGAAAAAGTGGCATCATGTATGCTGGAGATATCTCGTTTTTGTTTTAGGGAAAATCTGCAAAGATTAATCAAGCATGACGTTACTTCATTTAGCAATACCTCTATTTTGAATAGTATGGAACGATTTATTCGAACAGTGCGTGAGATGGAAGATACGATTTTAATTCCCAGTCGGCTTCTAGACTTAACTGTAGGCGACTCGCAAGATAAACTTCAATTGGAAGACAAACGTGGTTCTGTCATTAAAGCAACGTTGGCTAACGTCGACTTGTATCGCATTTACAACATTGTCAATCAAATCAAGGTCGAAGTGTTATGGTCGCAGGACCATATGAACGATGTTCAAAATTTAGAGGAGGATCCGGTGTTGTTGGAAAAGTTTATACGCGCTAGGAATTCGAGTAGTACGTCGATGCACAGTGTACAAAGTGTCTGCACTTCTTACAATTCGGAATTTGATATTGTAACTGAGAATGATTCCGAAGCGGAGAATGAAGATAGTGTTACCGTTGCTGCACGATCTTTTAAAAAACACCTGCACGGATTGCATCATAACATCGAAAAGATGATCCTGGTCGCCGAATATTTAATATTACGATACCAAACTGCCATCAATAGTCAAGCATAATCGTTCCTTGAATGATTAGAACTATGTTACGAACTCCATTCGATGAGATACTTAAACAGATATTGTAAACTAATACATTGTATGCATGGCACGTTAGTGATATTTAATGTACCGTTTCTATTACGTCTATTAACTATTAAATAAAAGTTGCAGTTTTAAATATTATAGTATTATTTACAACTTTTAATGATAATATTGTTTAATAATAATAATATTACCTAATGTTCATATTACTTACTCATCGGTTCATTTCAACTACTCATTGTTTATTCTCGCATGTATAAATGAAGCAAAATTAAAATTACATACTTAGTAATTAAAATGAAACATATGTTACTATGAAACTTAATGTTGCGTGGAAGAATTTAGTTCAATTGTGCAACAGATTTTGCATTTCACGTATATATTGATAATTTCAAATTTAGCTCTTAATTTACATATCGATTACCAGACATAAATATACTAAAGCTAAGTTCACGCGATAGGGTAATCTTTTATATATACATGTATATGCTATACTTTACTTTATATATACACGTAATATACGCATTTAGACGTATCGTATGAACGAGAAAACCGATGGTAACGACATCTGCAGATATTTCTTTTTTTTAATATGAAAATAAAATACCGCCAATCCAATGCATGTATGTTAAATTTTTCACCGATGTTGTAGAGATAGAAGTTATTTTAATTTTGTTGTACGTAGACACACGTAGAAAGAAAATTTTGGGAAAGTGTCGATTTTGATTTTAGTTCTTCAATGTTTTGACGTGCATGGCAATGGCGGATTTTATGTTTATCACATATTTTATATTATCGTTGACACTCAAGTTATGTCCAGGTGGGCAATATATTTTTCAGTCAAACAAATTTTTTGTTCTAACGATATATAATTCGCGAGTGAAACATCTCTTTTCTTCTTATTTAACGTTTCGTATTAATACCAAACATGTTTATTATTACTGAATTTTTCTGACTTCTTTCTTTTCTTTTTCTTTTTTTTGCTGCTCGATTTAGCACTAGTGTTCAATTTTGTGTACATACATACATCTGAATAATTGCATACAAATGTGCATATGCATTGATTATAAATAATGCTTCATAATGTCTTGAAATGTATTTCAATGGTTAACAGGACTCGTTTTTAGGAGAAGAAGAGAAGCTTTCTTTATTAGAAAATGATTTTTCTGTTGAAAGTGGAGAACCACAGAAATCTATAGACATTATGGCTTTTAATGGCAGTTCAATTGGACAACAACGTTTTAAATGCCATACTTGCGATGGACCAGATTGCCGATATACTCAAATCTGCCATAATGCAATTACTGTAATGTTTCTTGTTGTTATTATTGTACCAAAGATCCTCAAGAACATTAGGAAAAGTAATATATCTTTTAATATTTGATAGTGTTGGAAATCTAGAGTAAAAGAATCAAACGGTGCAGAAAGTGTAAGTAGAGGATGTACTTCAACAATGGAGCATATGTTGTTATTGTGTAATAAGCAATTACCGCCACGTATCGTTCAAAGTGCTACCAAAAAAAGACATGTTAATGGACTCCCACATGGTGTACAATATTATGTTGAATGTTGCCAAACAGATTTGTGTAATGGCGGACCATTTCCAATATTACATGACTTTAATGGAGGTAGATATTATAAGTATAATATTATATTTTTGTTTATATTTATTTCATGTACAATGACATTGTATATCTTCTTGTAGATGTTGTTGAAGAAGATTACGCAGTTAAATTAACATTGGCAATTTTGGGTTCTATGGTTGGATTCTGCATTATTGCTGGAATAGTGCTGTTTTATTTATTGGTATGTAGGACTCGTAAAAAAAGGACATTGGCTGCAAGGCGTAATAAACTTGTTATAGATTCTGAAATGGAGTCATCTATCTTACATTTTTCGTTTTCTTCTCCAACATCCACTACTACGTATCATTCTCATGAATTAAAAGCAACTGCAGCTGGTGATAGTACTCTAAAGGTATAAGTATAGGATATTACTTACAGTAGTTATTTGAATTCAAATATGGATTAATCTACCTAATATATATGTTTATTATGTACTTGTGTACTTTGATTATCTATAGGTTTGATTGAAATAATACAAAGATTATTTAAAATTCTTTTCATTTCAGGAATATAAAAATTGGTTTTTTTCTATTGTATCTTTTATTTTGTAGTTTTCTATATTTTAAATACTACATAAACTGTATGTGTTGAAATAGGAATACTTGGATGGAAGGAGTTTAACTAGTGGATCAGGATCTGGTTTACCATTATTGGTACAAAGAACACTAGCTAAACAAGTAGCATTAGTGGAATGCTTAGGTAGCGGTGGTAATGGTGGATTTGGTGGAGAAGTTTGGAGAGGAGTATGGCATGGTGAAAATGTTGCTGTAAAAATATATTTTTCACGAGATGAGGCAGCTTGGGCTCGTGAGACTGAAGTTTATTCTCAATTGCTGCCATCAAGACATGATAATATTCTTGGTTATGTCGGAAGTGATATGACAAGCAGAGCAAGTTGCACTCAACTTTGGCTAGTGACACATTATCATCCAATGGGATCACTTTTTGATTATTTAAATCGTACACCTCATTCTTTAACACATCATCAAACACTCAGTATCTGTTTGAGTATTGTGAATGGATTGCTTTATTTACATACTGAGATTCACGGAACTAGAGGAAAACCGGCTATGGCACATCGTAATCTTAAATCTAAAAATATTCTTGTTAAAACTAATGGTAGTTGTGTAATCGCTGATTTTGCGTTGGCAGTAACACAAGAACGTTTGACTACAGATAGAATTGATTTAAAACAAGGTACAAAACGATATATGAGCCCAGAGATTCTCGAGCAAACGTATGTATTACTTTCAATTATATTATATTAGTTATATTATTAAGTCTGTAATTAAAAATTTATTCAAAATTGTAGTAATAATTTTTGTAAAATGTATTTCATAAATAATACATTTAAAATCAGATATATTAAGTTAATTAAAAATGTAAAATTTTTTTTGATATATTTTAGGATAAACACAGAGTGTTTAGAGAACTTCAGGCGAGCAGATATATACAGTTTAGGCTTGATACTATGGGAAGTTTGTAGAAGATGTTTAAGTAATGGTGTCGCATTGGAATATGCAGCACCATATTCTGAGTGGCTTTCTAATAGTCAAGAACCTTCTATTGAAGAAATGAGAAAATTAGTTTGTTTGGATCAGCACAGACCACCCCTTCCTAACAGATGGCATTCTGATCCAGTAAATATTTAATTCATTAATTAATTAACTAATTAATTATCTAAATCAAAATATCATAAAATATTGAAGAACAAAGTACTATATTTAATTATTCGTAATGATATAATATGTATGATGTATTTATATTTCTGTAAAGGGTTTGTTATTTTTTATCATTTATATATGCTAGAAAATATTTTATTTTTGTAATCCGCAGTATTACTTTAGAACTTTCTGTTTTACAAAGAATAAATGTAAAAAAAATTTGACATTAAATAATAATATATATATTTTACAGACATTGGCTGGTTTGGGAAAATTAATGAAAGAATGTTGGCATGGGAAACCTGCAGCACGTCTACCCATTCTTAGAGTAAAAAAAACACTTGTTAAACTGGCAGCTAACGACACACGTGTTCATTTGTCTCTTGATTAAGTAGTATGGATACATTATTATTTTATGCAGATATTTATTAGTAAGAAAGTAAGCTGTGTGACTTGTTCTGTAAATTTATTTTTTTGCAAAAAAGAAAGACAATTACATAAAGTTTATACTCTTCATTCATTTTATTATATGGATATTTATAATTATCTTAAGTTGAAAAATGATATTTGAAACGAAGATAAAACAGAAAATTCTTGTTCAATATGATCGTAATTTTATACGTTATAATTTGTAGAGTAATATTAGTGTAGTGTGTCCTTGTATAGTGTATTTAAGAAATTTTTTTTTCTTTTTTATTATTATTATTAATTTTTAATACAGGAAAACCTCAGCCATTTTAAATAATTTAAGTAAATTAAGAGTGTGTATAAAGAGTGTGTATTTTCACTTCTAAATTTGTCTAGATTTATGTTAGATATTGGGTGTTTCTTAGTAAGTTACCACTATGTTATGCAAAAAATGAAATTTTCATTTTAGGAGAATCTTTAAACTTTTTTATTATTGTCAATGGCTGAGAACTATTGATGTGTTCATTACAATTAACATGCTTAATTAGCTAGATTATTTACTGTAATTATAACTCGATAACTATGACAGTTGACAACTAAATCAGTAGTTGTTATAATTGTAGTAGTAACTGTATTGGTAACAAAATTTTTATCAAAATACTAGTAGCTTCTTTTATATCACATGTATATCAATCACTAGGAAATGTTTTGCAGGTGGTAATAAACAGACAAGACTACTAGTATATCTTTTTGGCATAATATTATTTTTATATGACATGTATGAATGTTAACAAAATTTGTAATAAAAAATCACAATTAGTATCATTATTATATTAAAAAGTTTATTTATAAAATTCATCAGTATTTCAATCGAATTCACTTTTAATACTCTAGTTTTGAAAAGAACCCTTTTTTTCCTAGAAAAATTTCTTGTTAAATAGACTAGTAAAATTATTTTTTATGGTATTCGTTGATCTACTCTCTTGTTGATTGTTCTATCTTTGGTAACTCCATTGGACTACTGACTGAAAAAAAAAAAGAAGATCAAACTTATGGTCCAGTCGTAGTACATCCAAAGTGAAATAACGTGACGTAGGGCATGGTTTTCGTATAGAACATTGTAAAAAAAATTCTTATAAAACTTCCAAGGCCAAAGATAATTACAATTACTGCGGCTGTACATATTTCTAATCTTCGTTTTAATGAAACGTTCAACGGCGCGAATTTGACTCCCAGAATCTCCGTTGCTTTCCTTTATATCAATTCTTCTTGGACTATAACAATTATAATTAATGATAAATCAACTCTAGTAACTTAGTTAACATAGCTAACACAGCTTTCGATTCGATTCAAAATCTTTGCTACTAGAATAAACGGTGTAAAGTAAATGAAACATAACGAATAGATAACTTAATAAGGAAAATTGTTTCTCAATAAGAATTATATCATGTTTCTTACAAGAATTAATTAAAATTTGACTAAGAGAATATCTAATTATATAAATCAGGATATAGTTCAGAGCTTTTTTTTTAAACTTTTCTTTTCTTCGCTTCTTATTGATCTTTTACTATGCTTTATAGAATATGAATAACTTTTTCCTTTACGTTGAAAGTTCTTATTTAAAAATGCTTCAGTCAGTAGTGAGCTATACTAGCTATACAGCTCCACTAATTAATATTGTCAAGATCGGGATCAATCCACGTATATAATTCGTTTTTTTTTTATGTAATTTCTATAATTTCTTTTAAGTGTCGTGCTAGGAACGATGTATGAATTTACATCTAATAGAGATATGAATTAATGAAATCTTCATAACGTCTATTATTGCCGTTATCTGATCGCAGCTTGATTAACTTTTGAGGCATGTTTGAAGTAATAAACGTGTAAATGGCAATTATATTATTGAATATTATTGATCGTCATATGCACGCTATGTGTCAAGCAACGACGTTCTTAAAATTTTATTGACGAAGAATTCTTACTGTAGGTAAAAGTTATTTTATTTAAGATATCCATACATATCTTTTTTTCAGTTATTCATTTGCTTACTTATAAATTACAATAGCGTGTCGTAAACTATAATAAATAATCACGATCTACGAATGTGACGATACTAAATAACGTTGTAAATATATTAATTACTTAAACTGTGACTTCAAGACTGCGTAGGTGTAGAACTCATTTGAACTAATATAGCCAAGTAAGTACTTAAAGTACCAAAAAACTGAAAAAAAACGTTATGTTTTCAGAAGTAATCAATAAATATTGATGTTATATACTCAATTTACCTTCGTTGTAAGTTGGTTATCAAGAAAAACGCAACCGCCAGCGGTAAAATATAAAGGATGAAGAATGAGTTGTAATGAAAATTGTTGCAGCTGAAATTATCAATGTTGAAAATCAATTTTCTGCTAAACGTATCTTTAGAACATTAAAAATCATTGTTGTAATATAAATCATTGTTAACATTTGGAAAGAAGATCACTTTGTACAAGATCAAATATAAAGAAATTTTTTTACATGTAATATGAGAGTAGATAATTTAGCTCATTGGTGATAATAATAATAATAAATTAAATTTATTTATATTTCAGTGCGTTTTTAATATTTTTGATAGAAATGCACTGAATCTCTCTTTACCTCATCTTTGATAGAATCATCTATGCAAGAGACTTCTATTTCTCGAAGCGTTTGCGCTGTTACGTTTACCTAAAAAATACCAATATTTACACTTTTATTATCACTTTCGTCATAGTAAAAATATATATAAAAATATATATAATTTATAATATATAATTTTACCTCGTAATTGAAACAAGTGCACTGATGATTTATGATAATAACTTTACTACAAAGTATAAGACATGCTACTGTTATAACTATTTCATGGTGTAAAATTTCTGCCAGAGTCGATGATGTTACGTCGAAATATAAATTATACAGTATACATATTACCGCTGTAAATTCCATTGCCAAGTCTAATAAAAGTTGATAACTGTACATTTGATTAAGTTCGCGCGAAGCACTTACAATTTCAAAATGCATTTGCCTTTAAAAGATAAATAGAGAGACAGATTAATAATAAAAGGAAAAAAAATTCCGTTATTAACGACTTACTATTATTGATGTACGTTTTATAATATCGTTGTAATGACATCAAATATACCTTGCAATTTCAACAAAACGACGAAGAAAATTATTTTTATTATAATAATTCCTTACAAGTACAAGTTTATGTGCCGTTTGCTGCATCTTGTATCCCATATCAATGCTATTCACATTTGATGATTGATGTAGCTCACTTATTGCTATATTCATCTTGTGCAATTTGTCTTGTAAAATTCTAAATTAACATTCTTCGTTGAGAAAATAGATGCATAATAGAATGGATACGAGTGAATTTATAATACTTTATACAAATACATCAAAAAGTTAATTTTGTTTGTAAGAAAAATGCTTCTTAATGTTAAGAATTGATCTAATGATTATCAGTTGTATGTACTTGATCATTGGCTTTTTAAAAAGTTAAATTTAGTATCTGGAACTACGGAGCATCGTCTTTTCGTCCAGATAATTTTTAGCTTATAATTTAATCTTTGTTTTTGTATAATTTACCTTACAAATACGTTGAAAGTGACGCTCATCAAACAACTGATCGTAATTGGTAGACATATTAGAAGATCTAAATAGAATGCTTCTGTAATATCAGTATCACCCATGCACCAAATCCAAAAAAGTATGAAAAGAATTATCATCAGTATGCCCCATGTACTTGTTGCTCGTACAACATAGATCGACGTTTTTAGATAATTTTTTTCGATGCCAAAGGATTGTAAAATATTGTCTATTTGTTCGTATCTTGCAATAATTTTCTTCGAATGCTTCAAATTTAAAAAAAGAAAAGATGAGGAAGAAAGAATTTTTGAAAGTAATTTGTTGTATAAATACGTACTCCTGTATTGACAAATCCAAGCACGATGTAAATCGAAATAATTGCGATGTTGACATATAAAACAAATTTATAAGTGATCTCTTGGTACGCGGGCCAATCCAAATGAGTCTCTAACGTCGAGTTATGTAGGATATAATATAAAACGGTGCATGTACTAATATATATTATGCTCCAGCTGTATCGTAGACGTTCTCCAAATTCAAACACACGCAAACCGAATATTTCATTAGCCCAAATGATAGCCAATAACGATTCATATTGAGTCTTTGGCCTCCATGTTAGAATTCTAATTTTCATTGCCTTGATGATTTTGTCTAAACACATATCATTACAGTTACAATAATAATTACAATAAAATTTATTAATTGTTCATTCATAAATTGATACAATTTTGAAAACTTACTCAATAAAAACTTACCCGTCATATTCTTTCAATTTGGTTAATAGCTATTGTTTTACTTTTATTAGAATGTCTTGCTTTCTTTTAAATTTCTTTTTCATGCACCTATAAAATGAATAGATCTACCTGTAAGCATTCTGTTAATCTTCTCGGATCTCCGTTCATCATTTTTTTACGGGCAATGAGATCAAAGATAACCAACACGTTATATTAAAATCCACTATTCATAATGAACTTCAATACAAGCTGATAGAGGATCTCGCGTGTCATGTCACATTTATTTCTTAAATAGATCATCATGGTACTTGTAGTAAAAGTAAAAATTAGAAGAAATTAGAAGAAAAGATTAAAATGATAACGTTTGTAATTAGAATATGTTCACAAAACTGTTTCCTCAATTATTGTTCGAAATATTAAATTCTTGATTTCATATCGATGTGTTGTTGAATTTCGTAGTTCCAAATGATTCAAAAAGAACTGGCGCGCAAACATTCTGTGCGCATGACTTTGGCGCTTTGTAAAAAATATGAATTTACTCTAATTCTCTGAATTTGAGATTGAAATGATTTGTTTTCGATGCTGTTGTTTACTTGCGTTTATTTTAATAAATTTGTATTATCACCTCCAGCGTGACATATGAGTTCATGTTTAAATAACATCAGGTTCAATTGACGTTTCTGAAGAAAAAATCATCCAGAGTTTGAAAAACATTCGCACGATATTTTGCGGGTACGCCAATTTGTTGCTCACTTGTAAGCTGTAGTAAGAGTAACGTCATTATGCTCAGAAAAATATTTCTAGTTAGGATGACAAAATAACGCTCTAAATAACGCTGGAATTACAAAGATACATAACGCTAAGGTCGAATCGTTAAAAGACTTTATTACCATTGTAACAAAACATTGCTTTTGGAACACAAACAGATCTTTGGACTACAAATAGATTTTGTTAAATTCACATTTCTGTTTGTGGTTTTAATAACCTACTTCTAATATATGTATTAAAAATGCCGAAAGTACGTAGAAGTAAGAAACCTCCTCCGGATGGTTGGGAATTGATCGAACCAACGTTGGAGGAATTAGAACAGAAAATGCGCGAAGGTAATTTTAAGAAGAAAATAGAGGTTATGGTCGAAAAATTGCGCTAATTTTTATTTTTTATATGAATTAAATATTGCTCGATGTAATTTTGATTGTTTTATTCTGTTTGATTTGAATCATAGCCGAGACTGAACCTCACGAGGGCAAACGAAAACAAGAATCATTGTGGCCCATATTCAAAATCCATCACCAAAAATCAAGATACATATATGATTTGTATTACAGGCGGAAAGCGATAAGTCGTGGTAAAATGTTACTAATTGGTTTATTCATTTATTTGTCCTACTCTTGTTTACCTTGTTCTTTGGTTCCAGAACTATACGACTATTGCTTAAATGAGAATATAGCAGACAGAAATTTGATAGCAAAGTGGAAGAAAGTGGGATATGAAAATTTGTGCTGCTTACGTTGCATACAGCATAGAGACACTAACTTTGGTACAAATTGCATTTGCAGGGTACCTAAAGGCAAACTTGAAGAAGGTAGGATAGTAGAATGTATCCATTGTGGATGTAGAGGATGTTCTGGATAACATTTGATGATAATTATAAGGTGTGTACTTGTGTTGTTAACAGTATTGTATAATATTGAAAGCTATTATATTACTATAACTCTTAATGACTTAAGAAGTATCAGTTTAAACATTAATTATATTGTATGGTCATTTAATATAATTTTTCATTTCTACTATATAATTCTAGTATTTGTAAAAATTACAAATATACATAATGCTCCTGCTTTTATATAATTGCAAATTTCTTACATTTCAATTTGCTATATAACTAACTGAAAGGTCATTCTTTGAATAGAAGATAGTATTCTTTTAATACAAAATATTCTATGTACGTGTAAAGATCAAAAACTTTTAAATCAAATGAATAATTCTTTACTCAATTCACTAAACTGACTGATGATATATATATATTTCATAAAATTGTCAACAAAAATCTTATCTTTGTTTTATTATATGAAAATACTCAAAATTTTTATAAAAAATAAAATATTGACATTAAACCTGTGGTTTCATAATTATAATACATACAACTGTAGCATTTTGCAGTTAGAACAATAAAAATAGTAGCAGTTTTTCAGTTTCATTAAAGACAAGTACTAAATAATATAACAAAATAATACTATTTTCTAAGTGTGTTATTTTAAAGTACAGAATGCAATAAAAAACTACGACCTTTTGAAATCAATAACATTTTAAAAGATATATTAATCTATATATCCATAATACATTCCATCATAATATGCTTTTTCTATATCCAATGAATTTCGACGAAGGCGTCTTCCAATTGGTTCTAAATCATTGTAACATTTATTGAAAACTTGCATCACAACTTTTGTTGCTTCCTCTTTCGATATATTCGTTACAGCAATTACTGATCTAACAGCCTTGTCTATAACACAATTCTAAACAAAAATATAATTATATATTATTAGATATCTTTCTAAACAGTTCCCTATTTATTCCTTCATAGTATGATACTTTTTCTAACATTTTTTTGTTCCATTAAGTGATATTTTTGTTCCATTAAGTGATATTTTAGTTGCATGAAATTAAATATTTTGTGCAATAATATATTTTTATATACCATAAATGTGTCCTACCTGATGTGCTTTTTTAATATTGAAAAGTGAAGCAGTTCCTCGAGTCCATGCACCAAGAAAACTACAATGACATTGATTAGCTGCTCTTATTTCTGTGCAAGCTAAGTGATTTAAATTTTGTAGGTCAAGTTTATTACGGCAATAATCAAACATATGTATCATTTCATGACTCAATGTACTATGAACTCGATTTTTATTCCTAGCAGTATTTTGACAAACTATAATCTAAAATATATAAATATTTTATTTCATATGTAAAATATTTTATATTATTTATATATTGATATAAACAAATATATCTAATAATATATACCTGATTGGTTTGAGGATCATAACCACCAGTAACTATTTCATTACATATTTCACATGAAATATGACGACCAAGTTCAACTTCACTGAAATTATTGTAAATAAAATAATATCAATAATAAGAATACTTGCCTTATAACCTGTCAATTTAAATGAAATCAAAGAGATTTTATGATCCAAAATAAATTGAACAAATCAAACTTACAAAATGCAATTGTACTTTTTCTTGTACAAGGAAATTTATGTATAAAGATTTCTAAAAAACCATTTAGATTTCTAAAAAATCATGAACATTTTGGAAATCCAAAATTCAAAAATAAAAATAAAATGTATGTGCATACAATGTGCTACTTACCATCCTGAACTTTTCAGTGCTCCCAGTAATAATTTCATTAGAGGACCTAAAATATATATAATTCATAACTTACTTAATTTCTTAATTATTATATAATATATAATGTACAATATAAGTGATAGAATTACATATACATTAATGACTGTTTACAAAAGTAAAAGTATAATATTAAATTTGTTTTATAATTTTATTTTTTTATAGTGACACCTTCCAATTTCAGAAAAATATTTAACTTTTAAAAAACAGCTAACTGCTATGCCGCTGAAATATTCGGGATAATATTTCTGTTGCAATAACTGTATAATAAACCTAAAGTATAAAGACTCAAAAATTTTTTTCAAATAAACAGAACTTACTGTTTTTCATACATTGAAAAACATTAATTTCACACTGCAACTTTTGATAATTTTCCCTTTTTTCGTTTAAGGTAATTTTATCAAACCAAGTGCTGATTTTACTTTGACTTTTCTTTCTTCTTGGATAAAGATCAGAATATTCTGCTTCCTCGGTATTAAAATTTCCCTCATCTTTGACGGTCATTATTGTTCAAAGATATTAATTTATATTGAAAAACTAGTTACAAGACTTATTATCAAGCTGTAGGTTATGTTATAATCTTACATCATACAGTTTTCGGTACACGTGTATTTTCATATGTACCGAGTATCGGATACACATATAATAAGAAAAAAATACTTATATAATTCTATTTATTTTTAATTTTTAATTTTCAATACAAAAATTATACAGTATTATTATTATTATAATTCTTGTATAAAATACATTAACAGTAAATGTATAAAAAATAATGTAATAATCAAGTAAAAAATAAGTTAATTATATATACATATAATTTAGTTTATATGATATAGGTTTTATAATGAATTCAACTAAATATAATCATTTTCTCTAAGAGGACTTAATTGTTACCAGGTGTAATTAAGTTCTGTTAATTAAGAATTTACAGTGGTATGATTGGCCGTGTATGTTATTCATTGTTAATGAAAGTAATTCGATGAACAATTCGACTAGATAGCAATTGGATATTGTGTAGACGTGTTGTTAAAAAACTGTGATGTCGCAGATTTATTTCGATACCTATCAATTTTTAAACTTGGAAAAATTCATTTTTCAAACGGAGAGGTAACAAGTTAAAAATATAAAATCTTTGAAATTAGAAAAAATATATGTTTCATACAAATTACAGTATAACATAACAAACGATGAAAATATACATAATGTTTTTAAACAATGAAATTGCTTTCATATGTTATTTCTATATATGTAAATTATAAGTACAAGTATCTGGAAACTGTTTTGGAATGTACAATTATTATTAATTATAGAGACCCATCCATAAGTTAAAACAGCAAGCATTCACAAAACCTTCTATTAGATTATATGTATCTTCTATACAGCATGAAGAATTAATCATTTCTTCTGATTTACAATAAACTGCATACAAATCCTGAAATGAGAAATGAGGAAATTATATATGAGGTACACAAACAACAACAACAACAATAAAAATATTGATAACAAACCCCTCGTGAGGCATGTAGATCTATAGTTAACATCATGAAAACTTGAAAAAAACTTGGATGCAGTATTAGTAGATGAGTAATATTTCCGTCTGGTGTATTGAATTGTTTATGATGTTCTTGATATTTATTTTGTAGAACCTTTGATAAGGATTGGTACCAAGAAATTGGCTGATTAATAAATGGTCTTAATCTTGGATCCAACTTTAATAAAGGTTCAACATGGGCCAGAGAACAAAGTTCGGAGAATTCGTTATAATTCATGGCAGATTTACTTTCTAATAATTTATTCCAAAGAAGGTGTGTTCTGCATTGTAATGCTCCGCGTTTGATCATATTCATTATATGTATTCGAGCTGCATTTGCTTGGGACATTATTGTTTGTTGCATGAGTTGCTCGTGCGAGGAGTAATAACCTAGATAATTAATCGATTCTTGCCGTATCTGAATCAAGTGTGGTGATGAATTTACTGAAATGCTTGGAGGATTTACATTTTGAGTTAATGGAGAATTAGGTACAGGCGGAGGTGTCGGTGCACCTGTATTATTACAATTTGTACTAAAGTTAGCACTGTATAATTTAGCATCACTTTTTTTATCATTTGAAACTTGTCTACCTTCTTGAAGATCCAATGAAGATTCATTTAAAGTGCTTATAACAGGCTCGGTATAAGTACATGTAGATTTTTCAACACTGTACACCGTACGAAATTTTCCGAGTTTATTGTTTTCTACTTCTTTCTTTGGATATAATTCTCGCTTACTTGTTAACATTAAGTAGTATTTTAAAGTAATCTCAGTTTTTTCTAGTTGTGGAGGTTGTTCTAAATGTGATACAATAAGAACAACATCAAAATCATCAGCATATTTCGTATCTTGTGCGTCGCAGTAACTGATTAAAGGAGTGCTTTTTAAGCTTACTAAAACGTATTCACTTTCTTCAGAATCTTGGAGATCACTTTTCATTACAAATACACGCATGTTATAAGTTTTCTCATGAGATAATAAATAAGAATATAATGTGCGACCTGATATTGCCAAATCGCGAATAGTTACTACATCTAAAATATAAAGATGTGTAAAATGATCAATCTATAAGAGGAGAAACTTACAATCACAGTTACAAATAGTACCCAGTACGCATCCACAAAATATTATTTTACTTACCACTGTATATAAGATTTCTCGCATAATTTGGAGCTTTGCTATAATATTTGTTAAAATCATCAAGAAAATGAATAAGATGATAACCTTGTTGCACCAACCAAGGTCCAGTTCCAGCTATGTACGAATGGATGCAACGTAAATGAAAATCATATGTAAATGAATGTAGATGCATACTAATTTTGATTTTGTCACACGCATCCACAAAACTTAGCATAAACTGTAATAAATTAAAATTTTGTTATGTTTGATTTATTGTATATAGTATATACTATTGATAAAAACATAATAATAATAAGAAAGTTAGAACTTACTTGATTCACTAAAGCGCTACTCGCTTTCGTTTGTAGTCGACTGCATTCGATAATATGTAATTTAACAATGAAAAATGGTTGTGACAAGTGAATTTCAA